TCCAGAAATTCTTTCAATAGTGAGTAGTCCGTATTAAAGCGCCAGTATGAAACCTTTTCTGTCCTCCAAAAATGGCTACGGATCCAGACATATAACAATTGGACACACCCTGAGAATCGTCCACCTCATAGCTTTCTACAAGCGTTTAACGATCTGAAAGTCTCTGCTAGAATTGCAGAAGCATGATTAACCCTTTTTGGTAGCTGCTCAAACAAATCTACTACTGCAGCTTCAATATATCCCAATACTTTTGAGAAGATGATCATACCATACATACCCAGAGCAAAGAGATCGAATCGTACTTTAGTGTCTGGATGACTCTGAATAAGTTCTTTAATGTTGGTCCAAGTAATGCCTTCGCTTTCGCCCTTTTGTTTTGTACGGGATACCACCCATTCCTCTCGTACTCCGGCAATCTTTGCTAATTTAACTCGAAAAGGTTGAGTTTTAATTGACCTTGAATAAATTCGATTCTCCAAACCCCTTCTATATGTAGCAAAGTTGTGTACTCTTCAATAGTAGGAACCAAGTCCTCCTTATTGAGAGTGAAGCAATTGTACCCTGGATTTCATAATTGAATTAGGGCTCGAAGTAAGTCATCATCAACTTCGACATAGAGCAAATATGGGATGTCTCCGTAAGTCTGATAAAACTGCAACTTTTTGTTTGAGTCCCAACTCTCCCAAATGCCTCGCAAATCTTGCATATCATTTCTTTTTGGCGAAACTGGAGCATAACTAGCTAACTCAGATACATAGTCATCCTACAGACTGTCTCCCCCTTGTCTTTGTAAGTCCTCAGCCCACTGTCTTACTTCTGAGTTTAGAACTATTTGATTTAAACACTTTTTATCCATGGATGAAGGTTTTCCAATGAGACAATTAACACGAGGATCAATGCCTTTTATCATGTATGATGCTATGCAAACAGAAGAAATAAAGAACACAAAAAAAAATGAATTAGTTTACATAATAAAGGAAAAAATAATTTAATAATAAGGTCTACCTAAATATCTTTATTTAAACATGCTTTCTTCATACTTTAAATAATTTAAATTCACATGCAATTTATTCAGTAAGAAAACAAATAAATAAATTAAAAGGAAAAGTTAAATTCATTTCTCCTGTGTGTACACCTATTTTGGACAAAATTTCTTCATGACTTCAAATCGGAAGAGTTTCTAGGGTTTATTATATGCAGGGTTTCAGATCTAAGAATAAAGGTACCCGAATTGTCCTTGTTTGTGCCCCTTTGGGCTGCTAACCCTCAATCCTAGTCATCACAGACTAAAGTGGATTGAGTTCAATTCGAGGGGATATTTCTCTATGCCTGACACGGAGAATAAATTCTCACGAAGACATAGAGCATATGAACCCCGAAAGTTACTTGCTAGGTCTGACACGGAGAATAAATTCTCACGAAGACGTCGCTTTCACTCCCACTTAAAAGGGACAAACTTAATTATAGAGCTTTATGTTATGCAATGCAAGTGTTGTGTGTGAGGAGAAATGTTCAAACCTCTGACAGAAAAATAAATAATGAAATAAAATACTTGCAAATAAAATGAAATATTAATAAAATAATATATATAAATACTATGAAAATAATAAGTATATATAAAAATTTTGAAAAGAAAGAATTATAAATTAAATATATGAATTTTTAATTTATAATTAATAGAGACAATTTATAATTATTTTTAAAAGCTTGACCAGTCCCCAGCGGAGTCGCCAAGCTGTCGTCACCGGTTTTCGTCCGGGCACGAATTTTTACTTGACGGAGAAAATTAATGTGGATAAAAATGATTTTGATTTAAAAAAAATTTTGGGAGTTGCTATTGACCTTTTAGGGTTAGGTAGGTCAAATACTTGGAAAAACAATGTTTTAAAATAGTTTTGAATAAAACATAATTTAAAAGATAAAATTGATCTGCGTATAACCAAAAATTTTAGTAAAACAGGATTCGTGGTCGATTACGTTTAGGGAAGGATTAACACCCCTATAACGCCCACAATTGGTACTTTATTAATTATAAATTGTCTTATTATTGGAAATTTAAAATTTCAAAGATATATTTAATTTATAATCTTATTATTTCAAATTTATTAGTATCTTTAATAAAATCTATTAATTTATAAATAAAATATTTATTTATTAAGAAATATCAGAAAAGGACTTCTAGGTGCCTTAAGACATCACTTTTCTTCGATATTAAATAAATATTAATAAAAAATTAATATATATTTTATAGAGTAAAAAAATCAGAAAACGGACTTCTAGGTGTTTTAAGACAGTCATTTTCTTTAATATTAAATTAAAACATGCTTATAATAAAAAGTATTCTATATTAAATTTATAAATAAGATTTTGAATAAATAATATTTATATATATATATGATTAAGTAATAATAATAAAAAATATGATAAATAACTAAAATATAAAAGAAATTACAATTATAGAATTAAATCACAAAATATATAAAACTTATGGTCAAAATTATATAAAATTTAATTATTAAATTATAGAATATAAACAATTAATGGCCATAGTTATAAATATTATGTAGTATATACATTAAAAATGTAGTTTAACCCTAAAAAATTAATACGGGACTAAAATAAATTTTAATAAAGTTTAAGGGATTAATTATAATATGTACCTAAATTACTAGTCAGGATTAAAATAAATATTATTGAAAGAGTAAGGACTAAATACATATTTTACCTTAATTATTTATATAAATATTCGGTCAGGACTAAATTATAAGAAAATAAAATTAAAAGACTAAATCACGATATATAGGAAATGATTTCAGTGACTAAAATGGAATGTTACAAAACTAAGATGATTGTGGAAAGGGTTTGTCCATACGTGTAAATTACGCATATACCCTTCCCAAAACGACGTCGTTCGGGAAGGGATATATATTTCCCCAAACGGCTGGCCCGAAGGGCCAGCATCCTTATTTCTTCTCTTCTTCTTCTCTCTCAAAAATGAGAGAAGAAGAGCTCTCTCCCTTCTCTCTTAATTTCCCTCACCGGAGGGAAACGATCTCCGATCGGCCACCGCCAAATCCGCCACCGGCCACCACATCCGGTGGCCGAAAATTACAAAACCCACCCCAAATTAAAGCCTAGTTTCCCCTAAAGCTAAATCCGGAGGTTTTTTTAGCCTAAAATACTACTAAAATGCGTAGATCTAATTTTTTTACCTTTGACCTTTGGCTTTCCGACGGCGCAAGAAGGCTCTGATGACCATGTTCCCTCGGTAAGTTTCTCTTCTCTCTTTTCCTTGCTGTTTTGGTGATTTGTGGTTGCTGGATTGCTTTTTTTTTCTCTGTGGCTGTTGGATCTCTTTTTTTTACTTTCTGTTTTCTCTTGGGTTGCTGTCGTGGGTTTTTTTTGTTTGCAGGTGAACCGAGGCTTTATAGCCTCGTCGAGACGTTCATCGGACGGGTAATGGAATGGCGCTCGGTGAGTCACCGAACTATGGTGGTGCACCATAGGGTAACAATGTGGATGGCTCAGTGACGCTTCTGGAGGCTTCTTTGAGGGCGGCGACAGCTAGAATGTCGACGTGGGATAGCTGGAGACAGAGGCGGCACCGCGTGGTCTCTAGGGTATCATAACCCTAGGGTTTGCATCTAGAGGTCCTTGGATCGTTGGATCAAGATCTGATCTAACGGCTTAGAGATGAGTGGCGACTGAAGTTGGGATCAAACCCTAAATGGATTTTAGGGTTTATGTTAGGTTTGGGCCAGTTGAGTCTTTTGTAACTGGGTCGGTCTAGTCTTGATTGGGCCTGTAATAACATTTGTAAATAATTATTTATTTTATAATAATAATAATAATAATAGTAATTAAATGAAAAAAAACAAGTATCTTCACTTCGATTCAACTTCCTTTTAGATTTTCTTAGGCCACTCGGCTTTCCTCTTATTTGAGCAACAATAAGTACAAAATAAATTCAGAAGATCTGAATTTTTTTTAAAAGAAATTAAGAATTTTAGGTACTGTTAAACTGAATATAAATTATCTATACGATGTGCATAGTAGACATATCATAACCAATTTATCACTTTTTTTCAACAACAAAAAAACATCGTGTCAAATCCCTTTCGTTTTACCGGCCCTTGCTCCGGCTTGTTGCCTTTGGTGTGTTTCGGTCAGAGCACACGAGCCACATGACCTTGGTTTGAGGGCTGGTGAGAGAGAAGAAGAGAACAAAGAGAAAGAAGCATAAAAAAAATCCCTTTCATTTTTATACACATCAACTCTATCAAACTTACTTTTAAAAACTCAGGTATCAAATTAAATTAAAAAAAAAATTAAGTTTACATATAATGCGAACTAAAAACATTTTTAAACAAGTAGAAGTTATTAGTTTTATTAAAAAATATCTAAAATTATAATAAAAAATTACAATAGTATTTTTTTACATCTAAGGTAACAAGACAGTATTTGTTCAAAGACTCTCAACCAATTAACTATGAACGCCTTACCCCTAACGGTGCTCAAAACTGTGACCTCTAAAATGATAACGAGTCCCTTAACCACTTAGGTCAACATAATTAAGACATTTTTATATAACACTATTTTAAACCTTAAAGATTCTAAGATAGACACACCTCCGTGAAATCAATTAACACCGTTATTAATTACATTTTTAAGAACTAATTTACTCAATTGCTAAACTAATTTACTCACTTGAGAAAATACAAACTTAGAGGGTTCTTTTATATGAACTATGAGTGTTCCACGTTTATCCGTTCAACTATCTAAACAAAAACTAATCTTTTTGATCAAGTAACTAGTAAGACTACTCTGTTGGCATGCCATATTAATCCCTCGAATGAACTTAAACAACAAATCTTGTTAGACATATCTTTTCAAAATAGAGTATTGTGTACACCTACATGGGCACCCTTGAACATTAGAATATATTATCAAGACGAGTTGAAAACTTTATTAATTATTTTTAGAGTATTAAATGAAAATATAAAAAAAGGCCTTAAACTAACAGAACCAGATAGCAGAACACTGAAACATTTTATAAAGGGATACAGTAAAGAACAAATCTAAGGATGGAAAGTACAACCATAACTATGAAATCTGTAGTTTAAAACACTAACCTTAGTAATACATCAGCACTGCACATTCTTCAAGTGTATAGTGAAGGTTATAACTCTTGGCAAGGAGGAGGAGGAGGAAACAAAAGCTTCAACCGGAAAGCATCAACGCCATTCAAGTAGTAGTGGAAAAGCCGTTTTGCCCTGATAAACCCTAGACGCCCATAAAGTGCCAGTGCTCCTTTATTTGTCACTTCCAGTGTTACCTTCAACAACATAATAAATGTCAAGATGGTCAATACCGTCATCACCATGAACCTCCCATGTATTTTGAACTTGCAATTATATTGACAGGCATATAATAATGCTAGCGATACCATCTACTTAAGAAGGTGAAGAAATTACTCGGAACATTATGTTTTTGCAAATTCTTATGTTTTAGAAGAATTTTGCCAATTGCAGCAGATATTTCTTGGTAAACGGTAACATCATTTTAGACCCCTTTATACCTTCCTTTTTGAATCAACACATTCTTACTTTGTATAGTTTATACGTAGGCATAGATACTGATGAACCAAATATAGCTGAAAGGTGTTATTAGGTTGAGAAATGCTGAAGAAATCACCAATTGAACATGAATCAGAGTTATGATATCTCAACCACTATCAAAGTTTTTGAAAAAGAGCATAAAATTCGAATGCAGAAAAGATAAAGGTTGGGGCGATGCTGATCCAATAACATGGCTTATGATTCAAGTTCAAGCTTCACTTTGGTCATAGAGATGGTTACCGATTCATGTTCAGACGGCATATACTAGGCATAAAAATAGACAAAATCATCAATCCAGAGTTCAGACTACAAATACCAGGCACAAAAATAGACAATGCCCTGGTCTATAAACACACAAACAAGGTTAACTGATTGGTGAGAGGTGCTATCTCCGCAGAATTAACTGGTTTCACAATGTGTACAAATACATGTGCATCAACATATATGAAAGATGAAACTCATATTCAGAAAAAACTAAATAATTCAAGTGAAAAAAAAAACATTAGCACTGCACCTTATGCTACCTAAACAGCATGAGATTAACAATTATGACATAATTCATACTTAAACCGTACTCCCATTTCAAAATTCAGATCGGTGATACAGCAATGAGCTTCGATATTCATCTTTGCAAATGAAATCACCAGGACAAATGATGAAAGATACAGTACCTCTTCACATCCCGATTCCATCATCATTCTGATGGATCTGGTAACGAGCTCAGTGGCTGCAACATAAGCAAAAGCATCAACATTCAGCATCTTCGTTTTACATGAATTTTGTGACTACATATCTATTGAGGCAATAACAGTTGACAGGAAACCATCCGATACACAATTTTTCTACTTCGAATCAAAAGAATCCAACCCATTTAAAGAAACGAATAGAATGAATGTATATTGTCGAAACGTTTTTCCTTAAAAGTGAAAAGGTGAGATTTTGAAAACCAAATTAATTCTTAATTATTTAATTTAAAAACAAAATGTGGTTTACAAGACCTCTCGTTTCGAAAAATTTTGGATTTCCTTTACGATCGAAAAATACAGTTCGAAGAGTCGCCACCAATCTTTGATTAGGGTGTGATTGGACACCCAAAAATGCTTGCTATTTTAAATAAAAATTAATTTTAATTAAAACAACAAATTAAGGTCTGCGTTACCAAAATCCGAGTTCGGGAGTCGGTTACGTGTGGGAAGGATTAGCACCCCCACAACGCCCTAAATCGGTACCTAATCGATTAATTAACGTCCTTGCATTGAACTTTACAAATTCGAATTCAATTTGATTTTTGATCCCATAAAATAAAAATGTAAATTTAAAACATTCAAAAGCACTCAAATAAATTAAATTAAAATTACCGAGTCGTTTTAGAAAGATAAAGAATGTTCGATTATTTACAAATGTCGAGATCAGATCTTAAAAGTTATAACAACCTTTTCTCGATAAATTTAAATAAACGAACATTTCCTTTTCTTTCATTCCCAAATTTTAGGTGACGAATCAATTTTTGTTTCACTTTTGGGATACACTTTTAATTTAAAATTGTCAAAACGGCCCTCTAATCAGTTAAGACAGGCCACTCGAAACAATTTTAAATTAAAAGGGTATTACCCTTAGTCCGATTATGTAATAGGTCGAGTTATGCCCATGAGGGTACCATACAAATTGTAGAAAAAATGTCATATGATCACATATACATTGAAGAATACAAAAAGAGCTATCATGCAAAGTAACATATTCATACAAAATTACATGCACCTATTTAATAATATAATATGTAAATTAAACGTATGCAATATAGGGTATATAGAAATAACGTACAATATAATAACTAAAGCTTAGTTAATATAATATATATAACACTTACGCACTATTGTGCAAATAAATAAATAAAAACGCATAACATAATAATTAAAATATATTCAATATAAACATATATAATAGTTACGAACTAATGTTCAAATAATATTAAAAACAACACAGAGCCATGATATAAACATTAAAACATGCAATTTTTGAGGGAGTACAGTTCAATTAGACCTAAAATCTTAAAATAAATACTACCCTTAAGCACAAATGGTAACCCTAACCTAAACAGAAAAAATGCAGCCTCTTACTCCCTTTCTCTTCTCTGCTCATCTCATCCTCTACGCTAAACAGAAAGCTCAAACAAAAACCATGGTGACCACCATGGTCACACCCTTTGCTAAGCCCCGATGAGATTTCCATGGCACTCAAAACTCTCTGTCCAAACCCCTCTCTTTTACCGATTCATAACGCATCGAACCAAATGCCCAGACTAAACATGAAACCGACCAACAACACATTCCCTTTTTACTTAGATTTAAAATTAAAACCGAGCCTCTCATACGCATGCAAGCCCCGACTCCGACAACAAATAGATTAGGTAAATTTCTCTCTATTTTCTATGTTTTGAATGCAAAATAATAGACCGCACATAGCATTACTGAATATTTCGAAGAAGAAAAAAAAACAAGGAAAATAACCTGTTTATGGATTGCTTGTATTGTTTTCGGAAAAGATAAGGAAGACCACTGTTACACCGATTGATCTTTGAATACCGGAAAAATATTGTTTACACTGTTTTTATATGTTATTTTGCTGTGTAAAAACGAATGAAAAGGAGAAAAAAAATCTTTTGTGCTTTTCCTCCTCTTGTGTGTAGAATCCTCCCCTGCTCTATAGTGTTCTTTTTTAGTGGTTAATACCCCTCAAACTGACTCTTTACAGTTTTCAATTCCCCACTATTTGATTATTTCAACTTCTAAAAACCAACATTGATCTCTTTCTTTTTCTGCATATAACTGTTGTCCATTGGTCTTGAGCTGGGCCTCCAACAGGTTTGGGCTCATTTGGGCTTTCCCTGGTCCAAATTTATATCGTGTACTAGATACGAAGCCTCCGGACAAAACCGAGCATCTACAGCTGCCCCTCTTTACTCATTATCATGTAACGAGAATAGAGCAAAGATCAAAAGATGATCGAGTTTGTCCGGTCATGAGAACTTCAAAAGATTAAACTATTCCACTGTTACTTCGGGATAAGTGATACTTAAAAAATCTTCTAATGACGGGTCTGCTCCCTTTTCTTTCAAGGAGTATAAGACTCGAACAATCCTTGGCAAACGTGTCTGCTCCCTATTCATTCAGGGAGTATAAGACTCAAACAATCTTCAATAAAACGGGTCCGCTCTCTATTCCTTCAGAGAGTATAGAACTCGGAAAATCTTCAATAAACGGGTCCGCTCCCTATTCGTTCAGGGAGTATAGAACTCGAACAATCTTCATAAAACGTGTTCGCTCTCTATTCCTTCAGAGAGTATAGAACTCGAACAATCTTCAACGAACTTGTCCGCTCCCTATTCCTTCAGAGAGTATAGGACTCAATCTTCAACGAACTTGTCCGCTCCCTATTCCTTCAGAGAGTATAGGACTCAATCTTCAACGAACTTGTCCGCTCCCTATTCCTTCAGAGAGTATAGGACTTAATCTTTAACGAACTTGTCCGCTCCCTATTCCTTCAGAGAGTATAGGACTCAATCTTCAACAAACGAGTTTGCTTCACTACTCTTTCGTGAAGGCTTATAGATTTAATTGCTTCACTTCTCTTTCGTGAAGGCTTAAAATTTACTTATTTTGAAGGTCAAACCTGAAAATCAAACATTATCAATCATGAACATATGCTTGGAAATATTATATTCAAAAATTTAGAATTTGATAAGATCTCTAAAAATTCATCTCTATCATGAAAACTTGTCTGAAAGCCATTGGATATTTGATTCTGCTTTGACTCCATTTTCGTATGAACATCATTCTTGTCAAAATCTCAAGACCAGTTATCTTCATCTCGATGCTTCAATATCTTCAATCTTCAACTATCATTGAGAAACCTACAAATACTTAAGTCATCATGCAATTATGAGTGCCATGATCCTATTCATGCCTAAATGTATGCAAATATGCAATTTGATGCACTTTCTTTTTTCGAAGGAACTCTATCTCCTTTTGATCTTGATGGAACTCGGCTTCATCTTGGGCACAGAACGTTTAGTTCACCCCAGCTAACAATCTCAGTTCCATATTTCTCAGCTTAACAGGGCCTTGACTTCTTTCTTTCCTGAAAACCCACCAGTACCCATAACCAACTTCTTAATTAATGACTGAAATTTTCTACGAACTCCAAAGTTTTAGCTTCCCGTAGCCACACAAGCTTACATGTTTAAACCATTGTCAACTTCAGAATACCTGCATTTTCCAAAACCTTTTTCACAATAATACAAAATGATCTCATGTACTTCAAGTTAAGCTATATGTTTTAACTTTTCAAAATAAGATGCTTACAAAAGGGAAACGAACAAGAAAATACATCTCTTTATTTATATAATGCAAAGAATTTTTAGGTAATTTTATGGAAAACTTTTTACTGGAAACAGTAAAAGAACAAAAGAGTAGGCGTCTTCAAATATCAATAATGCAAATGCTTTTGAACTGGCACGCCGTTAGAATGTCTCGAGTGTAGCTTCTGTCAAAAAGATCTCCAAAATTGTGATACTTAAGAGTATGGAGCTACTTCTAAACTCCCTAAATCTCTATCATTGGATGCCCTAAACCAGTATTGAATCTCATATACATTCAATTCCTCTTGGTAATTTCAATAGAGACTCACTAATCTTTAGTCTCATCCCTGATCACCAACTGTCATTGTTACTATCTATATCAGGAGCCCTTTCCACTTCCAAAATTGATTCAGAACCTCCACCATGCACGAATTCTGAATTTCAAACTCAACTCAAGTCACCCTTTGCGGGTTTTCAACTTGAGACCTCCTTTGGTTCCAAGACGCCTTTTTCGGGTTTTCGTCTTGAACCCTCCTTTTATTTCTCTTTTTTTCATTTTTCTCTTTTTGTTTTTCATACATTTTATATTTTTCTTTTTTCTTTTTTTTAACCATTTTTCATTTTTTTCTCATTTTTCATTTTCTTTCATTTTTCCTCCTTTTTTCTTTTTCTTTTTTCTTTCTCTTTTTTTTATTTCTTCTTCAAGCGAAATATCTTTTAACAGCGTCAGAATTCACTGGATATGGTAATTCTGATCCATCCATTTCAGTTAGAACTAGAGCTCCCCTAGAAAAGGCCTTCTTGACAACATAAGGTCCTTCCCAATTGGGCATCCATTTTCCTCTGAAATCCTTCTGAATAGGCAAAATCCTTTTAAGCACCAAATCTCCCTCATGGAATTCTCGAAGACGAACTTTCTTACCATGTGCCCGTATCATACGTCTTTGGTACATCTGACCATGACAAATAGCTTTCAATCTCTTTTCTTCAATCAGATTCAACTGGTCATACCTAGCTTGGACCCATTCTGCCTCATTGAGCTTTACCTCTGACAAAATCCGAAGTGATGGAATTTCCACCTCAATAGGTAAAACACTTCCATCCCATAAACCAAAGAAAATGGAGTTGCCCCAGTTGACGTTCGTACTGAAGTTCGATAAGCAAACAGAGCAAAGGGCAACTTTTCATGCCAATCCTTATAGGTCTCAGTCATTTTCTCTATGAGCCTTTTGATGTTTTTATTGGCCGCCTCAACGGCCCCATTCATCTTTGGGCGATAAGTGGAGGAATTATGATGCTTTATTTTGAACTGTTTACAGACCGAGTCCATCATCTTATTATTTAAATTAAACGCATTATCGGAGATAATC